GAGTGTGTGGGTCCATGTTGTGGGTTCGTGGTGTGTGGGTCCATGTTGTGAGTTCGTGGTCAGTGTGTGGGTCCGTGGTGAGGATGTGGGTTCGTGGTGAGTGTGTGGGTCCATGTTCTGGGTTCGTGGTGAGTGTGTGGGTCCATGTTGTGGGTACGTGGTGAGTGTGTGGGTCCGTGTTGTGGGTTCGTGGTGAGTGTGTGGGTCTGTGATGTGGGTCCGTGGTGAGTGTGTGGGTCCATGTTGTGTGTTCGTGGTGAGTGTGTGTGTTCATGTTGTGGGTTTGTGATGAGTGTGTGGGTCCGTGTTGTGGGTTATTGGTGAGATTGGGTCCGTGGTGAGGATGTCAGGCCATGTGAGTTTGTGGTGAGGATGTGGGTGTGTGGTGAGTGTATGGGTCCGTGTTGTGGGTTCGTGGTGAGTGTGTGGGTCCGTGTTGTGGGTTCGTGGTGAGGCTGTGGGTGTGTGGTGAGTGTATGGGTCCGTGTTGTGAGTTCGTGGTGAGTGTGTGTGTTCATGTTGTGGGTTTGTGATGAGTGTGTGGGTCCGTGTTGTGGGTTATTGGTGAGATTGGGTCCGTGGTGAGGATGTGAGGCCATGTGAGTTTGTGGTGAGGATGTGGGTGTGTGGTGAGTGTATGGGTCCGTGTTGTGGGTTCGTGGTGAGTGTGTGGGTCCGTGTTGTGGGTTCATGGTGAGGATGTGGGTGTGTGGTGAGTGTATGGGTCCGTGTTGTGGGTTCGTGGTGTGTGGGTCCGTGTTGTGGGTTCGTGGTGAGTGTGTAGGTCCGTGTTGTGGGTTATTGGTGAGGTTGGGTCCGTGGTGCGGATGTTGAGTCCATGTGAGTTTGTGGTGAGGATGTGAGTCCGTGTTGTGAGTTTGTGGTGAGGATGGGGGTTCGTGGTTAGAATGGTGGGTTCCTGGTTGGGGGATGTGGGAAAGTGGTGAGGATGTGAGTTAGTGTTGTGACTCTCTACACCATCTCCACCCCCCCCCACCTACCCACAGCTTTCCACACAGAGACCTTGGGGACTGCTGCGTGAGAGAAGCCACTCTGAGTATCAACACCATGGAGGTACGCATGGGCCCCTACGCTCGACTTATGAACACCACCAGCACTCACCAACACCACCCACACTTACGAACACCACCCACACTTACGAACACCACCCACACTTACGAACACCACCAGCACTTACGAACAAAGCGAGATGTAGTGAGTGTTAACTACCTCGCCTGTTACGCAGGTCGTGGGCTCGATCCTGACCCTGACGATGCCTTCTGCTGTATATTTGCAGTCTGCGTTTCTGTCCCCGTGGTGGTCACCGCGTAGATTCTTTTCAGGGTCCTCCATATTTTCCCCTACATGTTGAGAATCGGCGTCACGCACTTCGAGCAATTGACTGCCGCTATGAATGTCCACGTGATGAAGATGATGTTATCAGCCCACTTTATTCGGCTATCAGCTGAGATGGCCAAGTGGCTTCTGGTCTACATGGGTCTATGGGTCTCTGTGGATCTATGGGTCTCTGTGGGTCAGATGATGACGACGATGATGATGGTGATGACAATGGCGATGATGATGACGATGTTGATGATGATGACGATGCGCTGCTGTGGTGCTGCTGCTTCTCTCTCCACAGAGCGGAGCCGGAGGGGAAGCTCCCATCGCCATCGTCGTCATCGTCGCTCACCTACACTCCCCACCTACACAACCGACACCACCCATACCACCCACACCACCCACACTCACCACCCACACTCACCACCCACATACACCACTCACTCACCACCCACACACACCACACCACACTCACCACCCACAATCACCACACCACCCACACCACCCACACTCACCACCCAATGGACTAGAGCCTGCTTAGCCACGTGCATTTGTGAAGAGTTAGGATAGAGATAAAAAAATAGTATAATGTAATAATGTGTACATATATATCTAGGCCATTGTTTGTTTATCGATTGTTGTTGTTAATAAATAAGCTGACTCAACAGAACTTTGCAATTGTGTTTGTTGTGGTGAGTTGCTGCTGCCTGGGTCTCAGGTGACTTTGGTCCAGATGTTGACTACCTCGCCTGGTACACAAGAGGTTGTGGATTCGATCCTGACCCTGATGAGATATTAACTACCTCGCCTGGTACATAGGAGGTCGTGGGTTCGATCCCAACCCTGTCGATGCCTGCTGCTGCTGTATATTTGGAGTCTGCATCTCTCTCTCTCATCATCATCACGATGGCTAGGAGATGTTGGCTACCTCTCCTGGTATACAGGAGATCGTGGGTTCAATCCCGACCCTGACGATGCCTGCTGCTGCTGTGTATTTGGAGTCTGCCCAACTCCGTGTCTCATCAGCAGAAGCAAGAGACAAGCTCTGCTTGAACCAATGATGGTGAACTGCCCAGATGTTTGTCGTCAGATGCACCTAGCCTGGCACAGCAGTCAACCCATGGCACCTGCTGGGTCTGTCCCGTGGCCTCCTCCTGCACCTAGCCTGGCACAGCAGTCAACCCATGGCACCTGCTGGGTCTGTCCCGTGACCTCCTGCCAGCAGCGACCCGTCGACACTTCACGTGGCCTCAGAGTGCATGCACCTAGCCTGGCATAAGTGCCGTGGTGACGTCACAAGTGGGGTGGGGCACGTGTCTGAGTTACAATTAATGAGTTCTGCACGGGCCGTCATGGACAGAGCTTACCTAACCTATCCGCACTACAAATTGCAATCACCTTCACCGGCTACTCCCATAGTCTCCGACGTTACCCGTCCCCACATTCCCCAGGTCGCTTAAGAAACAACGCTTATCCGCACTACGCATTACAATCGCACTTGCCGGCCACTCCCATAGGCTCCCACTTTACCCACCCTCCACATTCCCTACGTGACATAAGCCTCCCTACCGATCCGCACTACGCATTACAATCGCACTCGCCGGACAATCAAATAGAGCTCCCACCATCTCCCATTTTACGCGCCCACCACATTCCCCAGTTCGCTTAAGAAACCACGCTAATCCATAGAGACACACAGAGACCCATTGTGATACATAGAGACCCATAAAGACACACAGAGACCCATAGAGACACATACAAACCAATAGTCACACATAGAAACCGAAAGAGATACATAGAGACCGATAGAAACACACAGAGATACAGAGATACACAGAGACCCATAGAGATAAACAGAGACCCATAGTGATACATAGAGACCCATAGGGACACACAGAGACCCAAAGTGATACGTAGAGACCCATAGATATACATAGAGACCGATAGAGATATATAGAAACCCATAGAGATACATATAGATACATAGTGATACATAGAGACCCATAGATATACATAGAGACCGATAGAGACACACAGATCAAGGATAACACAGAGACACCCAGAAACCCATAGAGACACACAGAGACCAATAGTGATACATAGAGACCCATACAGATACGGAGAGACCCACAGACATACATAAGGACCCATAGAGACAGAGACCCATAGTAATACATACAGACTCATAAAGATACATAGAAAACCATATAAATACAAAGAGAATCGTAAAGACAAAGACCCATAGAAATACACAAAGACCCATAGAGACACACAGATCCATAGATATACATAGAGATCCACAGACAAGCAGAGACACACACAGAGACCCGCAGAGATACATAGAGACCCAAATACTAAAGATTTTAAATGTTACCAGGTAAGGAGCTATGTAGCGCTGGCTATTACAAATGATAGCTCAACCAAGTGGCTGATAACATTATCATCGTGTGGAAATGTAAAGACACCCACAGAGACTCAGATTCACCACACAGAGACCCACAGACTCACCACACAGAGACCCACAGACTCACCACACAGAGACCCGCAGACTCACCACATAGAGACTCAGATTCACCACACAGAGACCCACAGACTCACCACACAGAGACCCACAAACTCACCACACAGAGACCCGCAGACTCACCACACAGAGACCCGCAGACTCACCACACAGAGACCCACAGACTCACCACACAGAGAGACCCACAGACTCACCACACAGAGACCCACAGACTCATCACGCAGAGACCCACAGACTCATCACACAGAGACCCACAGACTCACCACACAGAGACCCACAGACTCAAAACACAGAGACCCACAGACTCACCACACAGAGACCCGCAGACTCACCACACAGAGACCCACAGACTCACCACACAGAGAGACCCACAGACTCACCACACAGAGAGACCCACAGACTCACCACACAGAGACCCACAGACTCATCACACACAGACCCACAGACTCATCACACACAGACCCACAGACTCACCACACAGAGACCCACAGACTCACCACACAGAGACCCACAGATTCACCACACAGAGACCCATAGACTCACCACACAGAGAGACCCACAGACTCACCACACAGAGACTCAGATTCACCACACAGAGACCCACAGACTCACCACACAGAGACCCGCAGACTCACCACACAGAGAGACCCACAGACTCACCACACAGAGACCCGCAGACTCACCACACAGAGACCCACAGACTCACCACACAGAGACTCACCACACAGAGACCCACAGACTCACCACACAGAGACTCACCACACAGAGACCCACAGACTCACCACACAGAGACCCGCAGACTCACCACACAGAGACTCAGATTCACCACACAGAGACCCACAGACTCACCACACAGAGACCCACAGACTCACCACACAGAGACCCACAGACTCACCACACAGAGACCCACAGACTCACGACACAGAGACCCGCAGACTCACCACACAGAGACCCGCAGACTCACCACACAGAGACACACAGACTCACCTCACACAGAGACCCACAAACTCACCACACAGAGACACAGACTCACCTCACACAGACACACGCAGAGACCCACAGACTCACCTCACACAGACACACACAGAGACCCACAGACTCACCTCACACAGACACACACAGAGACTCACAGACTCACCTCACACAGAGCCCCGTGTCGGCATCTTCAGGCTGAGTCGACCACGAGGAGGCACAGACAGGGTTCAGATTTTTCCCGCCATCGCCGCCATTCGCCCCGACCGGAAGCGGAAGTAGAAGCTGGGGGTGGAGGTCGCCCCAAGAGGAGGGGCGGGGGGCAGCTTCCGGGGGCGTGGTCGCGCACTGGCACGTCACTCGGAGGGCGTGGCTAAAGGGGGCGTGGTCACGTCCCTCGAGCTGTGACATCACCGGTGACGTCGCAATCACCACGAGCTTCCTCAGAGTTCGAGACGGGCGTGAAGGAGACGGCAGCTTCTTAAACTTCAGCTGCTTCAGCTTCATCATCGTCGCCTTTCGAACAACTTCTGCTGAAGCCATCCGAGCGAAACTTTTGACGAGGTGAGTTTTGTGGGTTCATGGTGAGTGTGTGGGTCCGTGTTGTGGGTTCGTGGTGTGTGGGTCTATGTTGTGGGTTCGTGATGAGTGTGTGGGTCCGTGGTGAGGATGTGGGTCCGTGGTGATTGTGTGGGTCCATGTTGTGGGTTCGTGGTGAGTGTGTGGGTCCGTGTTGTGGGTTCGTGGTGAGTCTGTGGGTCCGTGGTGAGGATTGTGGGTTCGTGGTGAGTGTGTGGGTCAGTGATGTGGGTTCGTGGTGAGTGTGTAGGTCCGTGGTGAGTGTGTGGGTTCGTGGTGAGTGTGTGGGTCCGTGGTGAGTGTGTGGGTCCATGTTGGGGGTTCGTGGAGAGTGTGTGGGTCCGTGATGTGGGTTAGTGGTGAGTGTGTGGGTCTGTGGTGAGTGTGTGGATCCGTGGTTGAGTGTGTGGATCCATGTTGGGGGTTCATGGTGAGTGTGTGGGTTCGTGGTGAGTGTGTGGGTCCGTGGTTGAGTGTGTGGGTCCGTGATGTGGGTTCGTGGTGAGTGTGTGGGTTCGTGGTGAGTGTGTGGGTCCGTGGTTGAGTGTGTGGGTCCATGTTGGGGGTTCATGGTGAGTGCGTGGGTCCGTGGTGAGTGTGTGGGTCCGTGTTGTGGGTTCGTGGTGAGTGTGTGGGTCCATGTTGTGGGTTCGTGGTGAGTGTGTGGGTCCGTGATGTGGGTTCGTGGTGAGTGTGTGGGTCCGTGGTGTGGGTTCGTGGTGAGTGTGTAGGTCCGTGTTGTGGGTTATTGGTGAGGTTGGGTCCGTGGTGCGGATGTGAGTCCATGTGAGTTTGTGGTGAGGATGTGAGTCCGTGTTGTGAGTTCGTGGTGAGGATGTGTGTCCGTGTTGTGAGTTTGTGGTGAGGATGGGGGTTTGTCGTTAGAATGGTGAGTTCCTGGTTGGGGGATGTGGGAAAGTGGTGAGGATGTGAGTCCGTGTTGTGACTCTCTACACCATCTACACCCCCCACCCACCCACAGCTTTCCACACAGAGACCTTGGGGACTGCTGCGTGAGAGAAGCCACTCTGAGTATCAACACCATGGAGGTACGCATGGGCCCCTACGCTCGACTTACGAACACCACCAGCACTCATCAACACCACCCATACTTACGAACACGACCCACACTTACGAACACCATCCTCACTTACGAACACCACCAGCACTTACTAACACTACCAGCACTTACGAACACCAATAGCACTTATGAACACCACCCATACTTTCGAACAACACCTTCACTTACGAACAACACCCTCACTTACGAACACCACCCACACTTACAAACACCACCCACACTACGAACGAGCTTCCATGAAATATATATTTGTTTAACATCGACTTACAACTCGCACTTGCGAACCGCGGAACGATTCTCCGCGAGATGTAGTGAGTGTTTGTGATGCCTGTACACTACTCTGTGGCACCACAATGGCAAGATATAAACAACCTCACTTGGTTTCCAGGAGGTCGTGGGTTCGACCCCGACCGTGATGTCTACTGTTTATTTGAAGTTTGCGTGTAGAGGAACCTACTCCAATATTGTTTTTATGTGTGTATGTGCATGTAGACGAGCCAAGCTGGAGCAAGAAGGAGGGAGGCAGTCTCTGGCAACACGTGGAGTGCGTTGTCCGCAGCCGGCACCTGCCCTATCCGCAGTAAATCACCTCGAGGTGAGGAACAGCATTGAGCAAAAATGGCCACGGTGAATGGGGGGAAGTCACTACCACCATTTTTCATGGGGGATTTTACGGTGGCCATGTTGCTTAGGGGACTTTATGGCAGTCCTGTTCCATGGGAGACTTCATTGTGGCCATTTTGCATGGGGGATGTCACGGCAGCTATGTTGCATGGGGTACATCACTACGGCCATGCTGCATGGGAGACGTCACTATGGCCATGTTACATGCGGAATTTAACGGTGGCCATGATGCATGGGGGTCTTTAGGGCGGCCATGTTTAATGAGGGATGTCATGATGGTCATGCTGCATTGGGGATATCACAGCGGCCATGTTGCATGGGGGTTGTAATGGTGGCCATGTTGCATGGGGGTTGTCATGGTGACTATGTTGCATGAGAGATGTCACGGCACCCATATTGCATGAGGGATGTCACTGTGGCCATGTTGCAAGGGGGACTTGATTGTGGCCATGTTGCATGGGGGATGTCACTGCAGCCATGTTACATGGGGGACTTTATTACGGCCATGTTGAATGAGGGATGTCCTGATGGCCATGTTGCATGGGGGATGCCATGGAAGCCATATTGCATGTGGGTTGTCATGGTGGCCATGTTGCACGAGGGATGTCATGGCAGCCATGTTACATAGGTATACAGTATTTGGCTGCCGTTATATATTTCCACGTGATGAAGATCACAGCCACTTTGGTGGGGCCATACCTGCCAAAATAAAAATATATAGTTTAGTTTTAGTATGGGTCTGTATGGGTCGTTATGGTTCGATATGAGCATGGATCTCTGTGGGTCTATGGATCTCTGTGGGTCTCTATGGTTCGATACCAGTATGGGTTTCTGTGGGTCTGAGTGGAGTGATGAGTCTCCATGTGATGATAATTACGACAATGACGATATAGCTCTAGCGGGGGTCTTCCTTGGCATGTAAACAAAACAGAAATAGTTAAAAGTCTAAGATGTCGTTGTTGTTGTCACGTGTGCAGCGATCCTGGATCTCTTTGGGCCTCAGCTAAGTCATCGCCAAAAGCTGGAGCTGGAGGAAATGAAACAAGTATGGTTCTTCACTGTGGACAAGGTCGGCAAATCCCGGGGCGGCAACAACAACGACAGCTACGACGACGATAACAACAACTACATCCCTGTGAGACTCACAGTGACACCCATGGAGACCCAAAGAGACACCCACAGAGACCCACAGAGACACCTATAGAGACCCACTCCCATTGAAACCCACAAAGGCACCCAACGAGACACCATTAGACACCCACAGAGCTTTTTGTTGGGTTAGAAGGCATGAGTATAAATGTGTAATCGTTAAACCTGCCACCACCATCAGACACAGACAGTCAGTTAGGGTTTTGTGTTACAGGTTTCTAGGGGTCTCTGTGGGTGTCTAAGGATCTGTTTGGGTCTTTATTGGTCTGGGTGTCTGTGGGTCTCTGTGAAAGTGTTCAAGTTATTTCGCACCGTATGTAGGAAACTTTGGCTAAACCACTCACGACGTCGGCCGTGGTGGCCAGGAGATGTTAACTCCCTCCCCTGGTATACAGGAGGTCATGGGTTCGATACCGACCCTGACGCCTGCTGTATATTTGGAGTTTGCGTCTCTCTCTCCCCGTGGTTGTGTGGATTTTTCTCCGGGTCCTCCGTTTTTTCTCCTTCCACATTTAGAAACAACGTCAACACACATTAAGAGCAATTAGCTGCTTCTGCTGTAAATTTCCACACGGTGATAATGATGAGGCCCCACTTCGTTGAGCAATGATTTGTGATGGCCAGGTCGCTCCATAGCAGCTCAGTGGTGGGGCCTTTAACAGCGTAGCAATAGGCTGTAGCCTTTCTGGACATAAAACACATACTTGTGGTTAACATGCAGACAAAAACATGCTCTGATAATGTGTGGCATTGCCTTTGAAACTGATTGGTCTACACCAGAGAGAGCAGCCTTCTTTAGGGCCTAGTCTCAATACCAGTGTCTCACTACCCAGTGTCTCACCACCAGTGTTTCACCACCAGTGTCTCACTACCCAGTGTCTCACTACCAGTGTCTAACTACCAGTGTCTCACAACTTGTGTCTCACCACCAGTGTCTCACTACCCAGTGTCCCAAAACCTGTGTCCCAAAACATGTGTCTCACAACCAGTGTCTCACCACCAGTGTCTCACAACCAGTGTCTCACTACCCAGTGTCTCACTACCAGTATGTCACTACCAGTGTCTCACCACCAGCGTCTCACCACCAGTGTCTCACCACCAGTGTCTCACTACCAGTGTCCCAAATCCTGTGTCTCACCACCAGTGTCTCACCACCAGTGTCTCACCACCAGCGTCTCACTACCCAGTGTTAGATGAATAAACGCAAAAAGGCGAACAACCCCCCCCCCCCCAAGTTTTAACGGCATTCGGTATTCTTGGGTCTTTCGGTAAAGTCACGTAGATAGGTTCAAAGAAAATAATAAAAAATAACAGAAAGACGACCGCTTGCGTTGCGATCGAAACGTCGTAGTTGTCCTTTTTTTATTATCTTTGAACCTATCTACGTGACTTTACCAAAAGATCCAAGAATATGAATTCCTGCAGTCACGAAAGCTTTAAGTCAAGCATTCGGCAGTTTAACGAAACATTTATACATTCCCACGATCTAACACCCAAGCAAAAAGAAACCTCCGTAGCTGATAATGGCAGTCGTGGAAGCCCGGACTACTGCTGCAACTACCGAACGTTCGACGCTCTGATTGCGACGACTCTGACTACCGGCCTCCGCCTCCTAGGTCCGCAAGGAACAGCTCCACTACCGCTATGAGGTGCAGAAGATGATCGGCGAGGGAGGCCAGGGCCTGGTGCTGCAGTGCCTCGACCACAAAACCAAAACTGCTCGTGGCCGTCAAGATGCTGTCGCTGCCCTTGTCGTGAGTCGGAGGGCCTTCCGCGGTGGCCCGCTCTCTCGGAAAATAATCATCAAACGATTGGAGGCACCGCCGTGAAACTGCCACTAACTATGGACTCGCTGACAAAATACTAACTGC